CCTCGACATTATCATTTCAAAACACTTTAGCACCGACAAGAATTATAGACGTAAATGTTTGACCTTCTTCTCATTCGTTGCGCGTATGCTTGACACAAGAAAAGTATGACCAATTCAGTCGAAGTTATGAACAAGCATTGAGGTTGTCAATCACTCGTTTGTTTCCACCACTGTAAGAGCCAAAGTTTGACCTCTATTTATGAGACACTCATCTCTCTCCCTTTATCATACTAAACTTTAACCAACCTAAAGTACGTCTCTTTCACCATACTTGCTATTTGGAGATGATGTGTACCTTTTAGTACTAAATTAATGTCCTCAACAATGTTTTTTGTCATGTGTCCGTATCACCGACCACCATCGTATGTTTACAACCATTTTTCATGTGGAATTCTTGATATGATCGAGTCATTCATTTTTCGAACAACTTCCCAGTGAGTCGCCCATCTTTGAATTACTCTGGTTCAAGCACGCTTAACTACAGAGTTCTGAAGCGAATGGTTAATATTCATTCTTAAAACCAATTAGTGATAAGTAAGTGGGTCATTTTAACCTCATATCTTTGTAGTGGGTGATCACTAGTTTCCCCCAAGCCAAGGTGGATTCTTGTGGGGCACCCCCCACAGTTCACCACGGCATTGCAGAGCCCTGCATCTATAGCGTGTTGCGGGCTGGCCTAGGGGCTTCGCAAGGCACACGTGGGCCTTGGCAGGTTGGGCTGTCACGCACCTAGGGGATTCGAACTTGCAACCTGCTCTGATACCACTTGTTAGGATCGACTCATTCATTTTTCGAACAACTTCCCAGTGGGTCAACCATCCTTGGATTACTCTGGTTCAAGCACACTTAACTATAGAGTTCTGAAGCGAATGATCACCATTCCTTCTTAAAATCAATGGTGATAAGTAGATCATTTTAACCTCATATCTTTGTAGCGGGTGATCATTGGTTTCCCCCAAGCCAAGGTGGATTCTTATGAGGCACCCTTACAATTCACCACGGCATTTCAGAGCCTCGCATCTATAGCGTGCTGTAGGCTGGCCTAAGGGCTTCGTAAGGCACACGTAGGTCTCGGCAGGTTGGGTTATCACGCACCAGATATCAGACCCATACACGATAGAATCCCTAAGGGTGATCGTTGGACCCCATAACCCAACCATTCTCGAAGCCCAGTTCCAAACACACTTAACATTAACCACCTTCAAATTCCCCAACCTCTTATCAAAATTTGGTTGGCATAATTTGTATCATGTTTCATAATATATATTGTGTTAAACAACAATTAAAAAACACATAACTGGATACAAACATATTGAAAATAAAATAAAGTGTTATAAAACTGATCGATATTGTTCTTACCAATATAATCGATACAAAATGTGGGATATACGTGCAGAAGTATCCAATGACTTCCTAATCGTTCAATTACCGCCAAAATGTTCATTCCTCTATCGAATATCAAACAGTCAATTACGAATGATGTATGCTTCTCGCCCTATACTCTGCTAATGTAGATGTCATATCAATTTCATTTCCATTAATGCAATAAAATTGTTTATCTACATGTATGTTGGATCCCCAAACTCACTTCTGAAAATCATTTGAGATAAATTTCCAGCCACATTTCTTGTTGACCCATAAACATCATATATGTTATGCACCTCAACAAATAACACAATAACTGCAAAATTTGTTGACTCGTGTAATTCAATCATGGTTTTAATATCATCTTCTTCAAATGGTACTAGAGCATATCTAATTGGATTGAGACATACCATAAACATATACTTCAAACCATCAACTGTAGCTCGAATTTTTCTTTTTATCCTCTACTTCATTTCTACAAATGTGATGTCCCCTTTTTGAACATCATATTTATAGGTCTTTCAGACTGAAAAACAACTTCTATCTCATTTTTCATAATATTTCCCTTATAATGGACAATCGTGAAAAAATTGTTGCTAATTTTCTCTACAAATTTAAAATTTGTATTTAAGAAAAAAATACAAGTACATATACAATGATCGTAAAATAATTCAAATAAAAAAATTTCACACTTACTTGATTGTTTCTCTAGAAAATTTCGTAAGAAAATGCTTCTTCTATGAATTGCTCCCTTTTTCTATTGCTCTCCTTTTCAATCTCTTATTTTTTGAACAAGCTCCCTGATACGTACAATAATATAGCTGAGAAAAAAAATTTATGTTAAAGTTGTATCTAGTTCAGTTGATAGGGTGGTTATAGGAATTGAATCTTATCAAATCCAAGTTAATAGTCTAGTCCTGCTCCCCTGCTCGCCTAGTCTGAATCTTTGCTCGATAGGGCTGGTTATATGGAGGTGGAAGATGCATTATAATCCATACGACACACCATAGGGGACGCATGGAGTACATATCGTCTCCCTTTTGTCGCTAGGGGCCCAGTGCAACATACATATGCACTTAACATAACACATTGGTGCAATTAATCTGAAACAAATATTATTTAAAAAATTTACCTATCAAATGTTATTAACCTTTATAATAATTACTTACATTACCACAAATCAATCATCCCTACTATACATATGATCCAAACGATATGCATTCCAATCAAGTACAAATTATTTTCCCTCCTAAAACACTTAGGTGGCGTTTGGTTCGTTGGAATGTTTCTGAGGGAATTAAAATCTGTGAAGGAATTGAAATCTTTCAGGAATTGGGTGGTCCGCTACTAGTGAACCGGCCAGAACCGTTGAACCGTTCAAACCGAACCGGCTGAAAACTGGAAAAAAACCGCCAATTTTTTTTTAATTAAACCAAACGACGTCGTTTGTTAAACGAGCCAAGTAGAACTCGAGTATTGGTGAGCTCGACTCGAACTTGAAAACTTTAAAAGTAAGCTCAACTCGACTCAAACTCACGAGCTAAAAATTATCAAGTTCAACTCGAACTCGAAATATAATATTGAAACTTGAACTCGAAAAGGGTTGAATTCGAAAAGGGTTGAACTCAAAAAAAATTAGAAGCTCGATTGAAGCCTAAAATTCGAGCTTGAAATTCGAGCTTGATTGAAGTGAAAGAATAGTTCACTCAATGCTCACCAAAAGGCTCTATGATTTTGAATGTCAAATTACCTCTATTATTTATAGAAGTTAGTTGGGATGCTCTTCTATTTTCTTAGCCATGTGAGATTGTTTTGTTCTCATATTTTTACTCTTTAGACTTTTGGGATGCTCTTCTATATTTTTTAGCCATGTTGGATTGTTTTTTAAAAATAAATTAAACCAAACAATATCATTTTGTTATGATTTTTTAGTCCCAAATTTATTTTTAATTATAGTTATATAATTATATTATTATTAATATGTTTTACCTTAAATATTATGTTGTAGTTAATTTGAATAATTTTGTTTCACTTGATTTTATGGTTTTTAACTTATATATATTATGACTTGCTTTGAATATGATTTGTGATATAAAAAATATTTTTTATTAAATATTTTTAATATTTTTATTTAATTTTTTAAATAATTATGACGTCGTCCGGTTATTCTGGCCGGTCAGACCAATGAACCGATAGCATGATCGGTTTGCTAACCGACCCGATTCTGAAAACCATGATGTTTCTCATGCTTGCTTGAGGACAGGATGAGTCAACTCATTTCAATGCGTTGGGATTGGGGAAATTTTTTGAAACTTGGCAAACCATGCAAGTATCATGCCATTTTATTTTAACTATTTTACGATTAAATTATGATTATTCAAATTATTCAAGTTAAATCTTCGATATGTACATTTAGTTGCCCTCAACTGAATCTGAATGTAGTTCAGAAAGATGCACAATTTTGTAAAATTCGATTCCATCTTAATTTACACCTCCTTTGTAGATTTATTTTGAAAATGAAAAATAAAACTGATATCCATGATAAAATTTGAATGCATAGATCATTTTTCTTTGTATTTTGGTTTCAGCCTATGGAGTTTAGAAAATGTATAGTTCCAAGTTAATCACAAACTATACAGTATACACAAATCATCAAGTATGAACTATAAAAGAACAGGTTAGAGATATATGATATCACCCTACTTTTTCCAGTTTCTTTCATTTGTGATGTGTTATTCATATTTTTTCTTTTTATTTTTGTTAATCGACGGCGACACTAATTTTGATGTTGGTTATTCACTGTTGATATTGTCTTTTTTATTATTTTATATTACATCTTTATTTTTTGTGTTTTAAATTTTAAATAATTTTTTAATAGAACATTTTCATATATTTTTATGACACGTTTTTTTCTGTCTTTTGACAAGTTTTCGATCGTTTGGTCGTTATTTTCTATTTTATCTTTTTAAATGGTTGATTCGACATCGCTACGACTGATCAAAATAACATTTATATGTTATCATACTGGTTTTCCTTAGTTTGAACTCTATTGAATTTGGATACTTAATTTGCGTTCGTGGATAGTTTTTTCACATCGCTCAACTCTGATTTACGATTTTCTTAGTGATCTTTCAATAGTTTGATTACATTTTATGGTTCGTTTGCTAATACGATCATGTCTTTTATATTTATCTTTATTGGAGTTTCAATTAAGTTTTTAAATATTTCCTTATATGATCCTTATATAATCTTATGTAGCTAATTTGATGTCAATAATTTTAAGAAAATATTCTAATTATGTGGTTAATTTATAATTATGATAATAAATCTCCATTATAATTCAAGATATTTTTTTTAATAAAATTAATTACTTCTGTAAAAAAAATAGAAAGCTCGTTAAATGACATCAATAATTAAAGGGAATGTTATTATCTCTAGAGGTCTTGGATTCAGACAAACTACATCTACGAACGTGTATATCTACAAACTCTATGCATAATCAATCACTAAGAAAAATTATAAACAAATATTATTTTATAATCATCTTAAACTATTCAAAAGAAACAAAAACAAAACAGGTTAGACGTGAAATATAAATCTGTAAATTTTTAACCTTATGAAAAATAATTTCGCATATCAATCTGTACAAAATGTTCCCTACAATATGATCTTAAGAACCAACTGCTACTCAATGAACCTTCCAATGAAGAATGTGGTAAGTTCCATTGAATCTATCCAGGGAGCGAAGATCTAATACTGCAATTACCTTTGCGACAAATCATTTGGAAATAATGGATTGGTGACTAATTATATCAGAGTTGCAATGCTAAATCTGGTCGCTGGGGTGAACCAATTGGCAAACTAGAACTAGGTGAACCCGGTGCCGGGAATCTCACATTAAGATCGGGAGGAAACGGAAGGAAATCTTGTTCGTTATCGGGTTTCTGCTGAAGCCGGGCATTAGTAATAACCCCATGTGACACCATAACCATTGCATTTTCAGAACTATCGGCAAATTTAATCGGTTTTGGCATCCGCCACATGGTGGAGCTGCTACCTGAAACCATGCCCTGTGGTTGAAAAGGCACTGAAGTATTTTCTGACATGGGCTGCACTACCAATCTGGGTTGAGGGGAATGATCACTAATAGAACCTTTGATACCTGAGTGCAGTAAAGATCTTTGCTGGAACTGATGAGCTGGTGTGTATGTCGAGTCGTTTTGAGAGATTGGCCCTCTGACAGTTTCTGGCTCTGCATCTTCTTTACCTTGCAAAGGAGATCTACTTGCAGCAATAGAGGTTGAACCAGAAGCAGTTGGAAGTAAAAGTCTGCTGGAATAGTTATCAGATAGAGAGTTTGAAGATACCTGCTTCTTGGAAAACGACAATCGCGGCTGCTCAATCTTGTTTTCTCCTACCCATCCGGGACCGAACTTCACTCCTCTTGGCAAAACACTTTCGATTTTCTTTGAAGCTATTCCAAACAAGGGTCCAAGATCTGCAGCAAAACGTGCCAAGCTTGTAGCATAACCATTTTCAGCACTCAAGCCAACCTGATACACATTGGAAAAGGGGGAAAACTTCACAATTTACACATAAAATTGAGGGACAAAAGTCATTGTTGAATGAGGTTGCCATGACTATATAGGCAATTTAGCATTCTAATCTGCCCATTCTCTGCATTGTTTTATATTTTCCTTTTATAAATGCCCCTATTGGTTAGATGTATGAATATATACTGTTTATTATGCAATAAAGTAATTTTAGGATTCCCAGACCCGTGCTTAACAACTTAAGATTGATCGAACATGCCATTTATACAATTAATTAGATCAATCTTTTAAGTGATGCATTAATTACTGCTATTCAAGCATACACACATAAACACACCGGAATTAGTTGTTTTAGTTCCCATCCAAGATGGGAAAGATTGGCTGCTGTGTCCAGAAGCGCATGAAGGGTTGTAGGTGTCACGCCTGTTCTCATCTACTGCAAAATGTTTCTTCCCATACTTCGTCACAGCCCTCACAACAGAAGCTGCAGCGTGATAAAAATAGCTCAATGCTAATATAAAATATGTTTAAAACAAGAATGAACTTAAAAGTTAAAAAACAAGGCTATACAGGTCATTGTATGAACATCAAACCTGGAAATTCGTTCTCCAATTCGGACAACCAGCTGGCATAATTGTCATGCTATGAGAACCCCAGGAGGGCCTGATAAATGGATCAGCATAGCGGGGCTTCTGTGAACTTGGTACTTTCCTCAAATTGTAAGTGTTAGAATGTCTGGAAGCATCTGTTCCAGTAGCTAGAGCAGCATCAGAGGAAAACTCAGAACCAACGCAATCAAAAGACGGTGACTCCAATGTCTTTTTGAGGCTCTTTCCAGGTGGTCTTCCTTCCTCACAACTTTTGGTTGAGGTTCACCTTCATCACTATCTTGCCTCAAATTCTCAAAGTCCTTCTTAGCTAGCTCTTGGATAGAACGTGCCTAACCAACGAGTCCAGTTTTTTAAAGAACCTAAACCAGAGCGTCATAATATCAAAGGAATTAATATATTTGTTGAGATCTAAGCCAAACCTGTTTAAAGTAAATTGTATCTGATGCATTATATTCCATTGCATTCGAGCATAGGAAAACATCTTTCTGCATAAATCAAACTCGAAAGTTACAATTTCAGTCATAGCAACATCATATCACATATGCAGGAAACTATATCACTACAACAAAACTTATAGTGTTCCCAAAAATCTATAGACTCCCCACAGGATAAGTCAAGAGCAACTCATACCGACTTCAAATCATTTCAACAGGATGTCAACTTCTCAGTTAACCTAAACAAGAAAAAAACAAACTCACAGCATATAAAGTTGTCTTCTAGGGATGAATAAGCTGTTGTGATCCAAAACTAATCAGAACAAGTTCTGCAATCAAATTCCAGATCATGGACAATCATTGGCAGTACCAATAACTTCTTTATCATATAAACTTAAAAAAATGTAAAAAGGCCAGGGAGAACAATGATCCCACATCCTCAATCCAAATAAAAAATCAATCAGACTAACAGACCAAAATGCTATACACAACTGGACTTAAAATGAAGAACGAAAACATTATCACAGTTAATATCACTACAGTATTCTCAAAAGGCATAGTATGCATCAATTGGCAGCCAAAAATTTCATTTCGTGAGTACAATATTTCTAGGTGAACATGAACCTAGATAATTTCATATCAACTTAAAAATTATTTAGAAACACAATCAAACAACTTAATGATCCTGCCTTGTCCGAATTGTCCCAGGTAGAAAGAAATGAATTGGTTATCCATATGATCAACTCAGCAAAGAGAAGCATTGCCGCAGCACAAAAAGAGAAAAAAAATGAAGAAGAGAGAAGAGAAGGCATGAAATACAACCTCAAATTGTTCCAAGGTTGTATAAGCTCCTCATCAAGCTTTTTCCTGACTGTCGAAAAGTCCATTGGGTGTGCAATGATCTCACGGTAATCAGGAAGCTGCATCAAGATCAATCCAGCATTATGTCATGAACTGGAAATCCACTCATCAGTAATCTACATTTATACAAGAATGAAAAATAAAATACACCTCTTCAGGATTCACCGGCTCAGAGAAAACCCGTAAGTGTCCTTCCTGAAAGTAGATTAAGCAAACAATCAAAACCCAGTGAAAGTATGATAGGATAAAAAAGAGGAAAAAAATCCAGTGAACAAATATACACATACTTTTGAAGCCTGTCAAGAATGAACACCAACAACTTTTTGTCTGGCAAAGGTGTCGTGGGGCCAGACTCCACCGGCGACCCTGGTTACATATAAATGACAAATAATTTTAGTTAATTGCCAAAAACCCATTAACCAACACTTTTTAAGACTTTCCCAGAAATTCCTTTTCATGAAAATCGAGATTGGTTTTATACATGAAGAGCGTCTGTCGCTTTCAATAACCTTTTTCCCTGCAAACATGATAAACTCTCTTATCAATCAAAAACGTATTTATTTAACTAACAAGATAGAACTAGAGCTAGAGCTATTTGCCTTGGTCATCGAAGAATCAGAGAGTAAAGTTACAGTAAAAGCTACAACAACTCAGAAAGTACAAGAGCACCAAAAGAAAACAGACACACAGACATTGAATTATTATTTATTAAAGAAAAGAAAAGACAAATTGAAGCTTTTCAGACATGATTGGTATGCGTGTATATCATTTTGCACATATATAAAGTCAGATTAAATACAAGAAAATAAAGAATAAAATAATTATGGAAAATTCGTAAATTAGGAAATAAAGAAAAATAACTGTGTTCAACACTATTTCAAGTTCTCCAAATATCAAAAAGTTGAACTAAATTTCCAATACAGAAAAAAAAAGCACATGACTTGGTCAAAACTCGTCCATCATCTTCGATCAGCCATAAAAATTCAGTTGACGCGCGAAACCCAAAAGTTCAATTTCAAAATAAAATAAAATGGGCAGACATATTCAAAACAAAGTGGGTAAAATCTCTCTTTTTCAGTTTCGAAAAAAACATTACTCTCGAAAACCCCACGAAAACCTATTTCAACGCCCAACATTTTATATTAGTGTATAATTAGTCACCATTTGATCAGATCCGGGCCGATGGTGACGACTTTGCGCCGCTTGAGTGACGCCTCCTGATCTTCACCATCAGCATTCGAATCGGGACTGTAGGAGGCCGAATCGGGCGTGGATGGGATGGGATAATGCTGATGGTTACGAGAAGAATTGAGGCCGAGCAAGCTGTGCTTCTTCTGTGGCGCTCGTCATCATCGTCTCCTCCGTCAGTCGAGTCGGGAAAGGGGATCCGCCGTCGATATTGTGGTTCGGCGAGTGGACCGGCGGGTTGAATTGAGGGGGGAATTAGGGGTTTTGTGTAGCGGAATCGATTGGTGGTGGCTCCGCTCTTGGAGTTGCTGTGTTTGAGGGAGCGTTTTGGAGTTCTAAAAGAGAGGGTCTGCCCTTTTCTTCTTCTTCGTCATTGTTGTTTCTGCTGCCCTCTCTCACCTCCCATTGCCTTTTTTATTCTCGTTCTTTTTATTTCAGCTAAACTGCCTTATTTATTTGTTTATTTGTTTTTAACAATAATATATTGGGGGATGAAGCGTGGCGGGGAAGTCACGTGAAACGGTGGATGTGAACACCCACTTTATCTTTCTTTCTTTTTCTTTTCATTTTTTTTTTCTTTCTCTATCGCTTATAACATTGTTTTTCCTTTAATTGCCTAGTAATTTTTGTTGATTCATCATCGTTCGATCTACTGTGATCGACATCGTCGGCATCGTTGGAGTCCTCTCGTCATCCTTGTTCTGTTGGTGTCTTCGCTTTGCCGTTGCCTTTGTTGTAGCCGTTTGCGAGGGTGAGGATAGGGAAGTTTCGATTTTGTAAAATCCTCATCTCCCTCCGCCACGAACCAACCTCAGGGATTCTTTGTGCTTAAAAGTTAATTCTGTAAATTAGTAAAATGTCGACGAGTATATTCGTTGCACGTGCCGCACACGTCACCCCTTATGCGTATGCGTTGTCCGTAACTAGGGAAAATCTTTTAAACTAGTCTGAGTTGAACCAATTTAGTCAAGTCGAACTGGGTCTAATCTGATCCACCGTGACATGGCCTGTTGACTGTTGACTATCGACTTTAACCGTTAATTCTTTTTAAAACCTCTCTTGACATTTTTCGATGTCCTCAATTCATTTTTACAATTTATTTTAACCCAAAAGTTTTGTTTACCAGTTTGTTAATTATTTTTTGGACTTTTCTGTTGTAACTGCTATTTAAAAATTATCTTATTTGTGATTAATTATTTATGAAGGTGATCTGATCCCTCCCGAATGTTCGTCCGTAAACTCAGATTCGTCTCATCCTATTCATATAAATCTGGATGGTTCTATTAGAGTTAAGTTACTTAACTGCAGAATCATAAAAACCTTATGATTATAAATTGTTTTGGTATTTAATAGTGTTTCAAATTTGTAGGTTCTAACGCTCATGGACTTAGTACTACTGAACATAGATAATATGTTGTGTAGTGCTACAAACTTCCTAGAGGTGTTTACCTTCAGGTAACCTCACCAAAACCATGTCTTGTTCTTCTGTAGGGCATCGAATTCATCTTGCATTGCAGCCTTCCAGTTATCTGATTGCATGGCTTCATGCACACTTGTTGGCTCCTCATTTTCAAAATAAACTCGTGTAGGTTTTCGGTTTAAAAACCCCACACTTACTCCTTGTTAGCATTGGGTGATGGTTTTGTGCCAATCCAAGACACCAGGTGCCTAACACCCTCACTAGGCTCACTGTTACAACGTGTATGTTGGAACAAAGGTCTGCTGGTCCCCCCAATTTCAGCAGCATCGGGTACACTTTCAGTCAATAAAGTACATTTTCACATATAACTGGCGGCGAACCTGAGACACGAGGTGTCTCCCACATTTCAGACTGCTGACCGTAAGAATTAGTACCAATTACACTGCCTTGCATGGCTCTGCTACAGTACATCGTGTACATGGTTCTGTAATTTCAAGGATCCATAACAACTTGAATTTCTTGTGAACGTTGACTTGTATTTCCAACAGCTTT